TGTCTCACTATACTCGATAGATTATTTCTAACATATTGATCTATATATATAATAATAATGCATATCACATTCTTCTGCTACTAGATAAAATTTTTGTCTAAAATTATAATTATATTTAAAAATAGTCTTTCTATTTTCGATTAATACCTTGCATCTGACACATAAATGGAATAAGAAAATTTTTAACTTCGAACAAAACTTAATATTTTCATCATCGGAATTGAAGTTTACAATATATATATATTTCATTTTATTAGTAACTTATTTATTTTTTATGCCACATTTACTTATCAACATCATCATCGATAGGACTAATAACGTATGATAATGATGCAAAATTTTAAAGCGTTATTATCGATTTTAGTAAAAAAAGAAAAAACAAAAACGGAGAAGACTATGTCACCTCAAAGACAAAAAAAAACTAAAAGAAAAGAAAAGAAAAGAACAATCATTTGTATAAATAGAAACACTTAGTAAAAAGTAATATATACATGCACTTTAAATTCAAAGATATTTAGATAAATAAAATTTTTTCTTACCTAAATTGAAAAAATATAATTAAGTTTGATTCATATAAATAATTATTAGATTTTAAATGCGCATATATATTTATTTATTTATGTAAAAATATCAATTATAATTGCGAAATGAAAAAAGGATCGCATGTTAACTAATAGTCATTTATTATAACATCAATGTTATAATTTTTTCTCAATATTCAGAAAACAATTTTATCTCTTAAAAGAGTTTTTTTTTTTAAATAAGAAATCTAATGAACAACAATAGATTTATATAATGTTCTAAAGAGAAAGAATATGCTGGAAGAACGATGAACGGGAGAGAGAGAACGTATGAAAGTAGAATCAACAACGAACAGAATGTACTGGAATATACTTCAACGGTTAAGAAGAAAAGAGAAGAACATATATATATATATACATACGATGTATATGAGCGTTCGATACAAAGGACAAATGAACAAGAAGAGAAATGAGGAAAAAAAAACGATATCACACAGCAAACTTATGTAGAATGGTCCGTTCTGTTCAATACAAAGAAAAAAAACAAAAAGTTGCGATGCGTCAGGTTGAAATTAGACAATTATGCTATGTTATAATCTTGTTTTTGTTCTAATCGAATCGTTCCTGTGATTGAGAACGTAATTAACTATTGTATATACAGCACATGGATATTATGTTCAAATATTTGTTGCATAAAAGTAATTTGATAACTAGGGAAGACATTTTATGAGTAAGTATCTCGAATGATTCATAAGACAATGTATTAAATTGTAATAAACGTCTATTGATTTTTGAATATTTAGTTTTTTAAATGAAGGGTATCACAACCTCGGTCGGGTTATCTCTATTTCATGTTTTTTCGTGTCATCACTCGCATATAATTTGGTATTCATCAGTGTTTTGTCCAGGATTTTTTCTCCGGAGGGGCGATTTGGAATTTCGGGGGGGCGAAAAATTATTTTCGGGGGGGGGGGGGGGGGGAGCCCCGGGGTTTTTAGTAGGGTGGATGGAAGGTTGGGGGGGGGCAAACTCGATTTTCGGGGGGGCGCGGCCCCCTGGGCACCCCTCTGGATAAAACACTGATAGTATTCATAGCTAAAATATTAATAATCAGTAAATAACGCTTAATCTATTCTTCAACATAAAAACTATGAAATGATTTTGAAAAATTCCTAATAGTTCAGATTACATTGATCCCTATTTATAAAAGTTATCTATTGTGAAAAAAACAATTATAGGTAGTCTATTTATTGTTATAATATTTTGTCTGTTTTATTTTTACAGTTAACGATTAATTTATTGTTGTTTCACTTTTTAATTATTTTTCGTTCAAACTTTTCATATATATATATATATTACGTGTTTGAATTTTGAAACTATAAATCTAATAAAATCGAAGGAAATTTTATAAAAATTTTCTCAAGAAAAAAATACTATATATAGAAACTCTTTTTTTTAATCTTTGAATTTTTATATAAGATTTTCAATTAGTTTTTGATAATATACATAAAATTGTTCTCGTTATTATTAAATAAATCCTTAGTATCCAAATTGTTTTGCATATGTCCACGACATTTATTATTGACTCAAGATAGAATTAGAAAAAAAAAACCGAGATTAAGACAAGGCTTATGTGAATATTTCTCTGTGCATGCTTGAAAATGAAGTCTAAAAATATTGAGATAAATAATATAATTTATTAATAGATAAAGAAAGTAAGAAAAAAAAGGATTATTGGTATTATTATCAACAAAATGAAAAACGAAAATTAATTTAATATAGATTTTTCTTTTTTAAATTACGTTTGTTATTGATATTTCACACTACAACATTACTTTCCATGAGACAAATATTTTCACTCATTCGTTACATTACATAAAGAAATTTCCTATATAAATATTCAAATAATGATTATCATCGTTCATTAGGATAATAAAACGATATTTCAATAAATTCTATTTGTTAAAATTTTTCTATTGAACTCTGTCTACTCTGTATTACATCTATCAAAATTACAGCACCATACAAGTTCATTTTAATTTTCAAATAATGAAAAAGTGTGACAAAATTAAAAATATTCTCTATAGTTCAAAAAAACGTATTTGGTCATGACAAAAAAAAAGAAATATCTAAAAAGTAGATCAAGAAATTAAAATATTTTTCAATTAACTTTCATTAACATCTTATATATTTGATTGATAAAATTCATCTAATTGTCTGTTAATTACATAGAAGAAGAATAGTCATGCAATAAAAACAAAAAAAAAGTTCACAACTAATCGATTAAACAATTAGAGTGTAAGATAGAATGAAAAAGTAATAGAAATAAAGATTGATGAGATAATGATAATTTTCGTCTAGTTCTTTTAATAGATTTTATATTATTCTATTCAACGGATACAAATAAAATGAGAAGTAATTTGTACTAAAGAATTTATAATAATAGTAGACGATAATATAAATGATTCATGACTTATGATTAAATTACATTTCACATAGATCAAAAAAATTCAAAATTTCAGTTTTGTTGATTCATATCGGAAGTTCAAATAATCTTATGAGATTCTCAATAGTACTTACTTCATTTTTATTCTCTTATAAAAATTATATTTCATTTATATATACGATTGGAATTTGTCTTAATCAACAAATATTGGGTTTTTTTTCTTGTAGTTGTGGTAATCATCAATAATTTAAATAATATAAAATAAAAATATGATATTTAGATAAAAGTATGATAATTGAAGGCTAAACACTGAATTGTTTATGACAAATAACAAAGAAAATCATATTTTTGTGTTTTTGAAGCATACAAACCTATAAAATAGTCCTTATAACCCTGCGGATTTACAATACAGAAAAAATAAACAAAAACACAATCATTATCTTATTTCAACTATACGAACATTTGACCGATAATAATATGTACTAATAAGAAAGTCCCTCAAATGATTAGTCACTTTCGAGTTACGACTAAGTGCATTATATCGATTCTTATGAGCTATGAATATTCGGAAAATAATTCTAACTCTTAATTTCTTACTGTGAAGATACACACATGAATGTCGTGATCCTATCAGAAAAAAAAATCGATTTTCATCTTTGACCTTAAAATTTTGCACATAGACAGATCTTCACGTGAATAGTTTATTGTAAAAGTTTCAAGTCTTTCGATTTGCTATTGTCCTGAAAAAAAGAAAGAAATATTGAATCTGCCAGTGCATATATGTAAACAACAATATTTTATCCATAGTTGTATCTTAGGATACAAATAATGAAACTGTTGTCGATATGGAAAATTTCAAATCGAAATTCGAAAATAACTCCAACATTCATTTAAAAAATAAGCTAAAGACACGAACTCTTTTCAAAGTATTTATAGTTTACTAGGACCTACATTGTCTCGATTGAAAAATGATTTATCTATTGGAGAACTTCTTTCGTAAGCAACAACAAAAAAATCTGCTATGATAATTTTTGCAATTTGTTATGATTGACAACCAAAACAAAAAAATGATGTGTTATCTTGTTTGTTCTTGAACTTCGAATAAGTTTATTTCTTATGATAGATATTATTTATTTATTTATTTATTTTTGATAATAAAATCGCTGAAATTATAAATTATATTTCAATATTAAGAATTTTTTATTATTCTAAATAAAATTGATTTATTGTCTTCAATTGTAATTTTAATAGACATATTAGAATATTTTATATATTGTAATTAAAATCATTTTTATTGGAAAGATTTGTTAATATTGATATTGACTATGAATATTACCGATTATATTATTGAATCATAGCTATTACATCAAAAAATATACCCATCAATATGATTCAACATGACTTTGTTTTATTTTTCATGTAAATGTATTTTTTTTTTGCACTGAGAACTAAAATAATCAGTACACATTTATCAAAAAAAAAAGAAAAAAGGGCATTCGAGTGTGACGCAATATTTACAAAGTAATTCTAGGTTTTGTAATTTTCGTTTTACATAATGATTGGCTTATTTTGTCATGTTTGTTTTTCTCTTTTGTTTCCTTTTTTTACATCATCAACAAAACCATCAATATTGACAGGGTGCTGCAATTTTTCGTAGTATTTTTTTTCTCTTCATTAATGGTTATGGATGAGCAAACATCGGGGTTAATTCATCAAAACATCGAAAAAGTGCTTTCATATACAGAGAAAAAAAAATATATATGAATAAAAGGGCAATATATAGTGGTTTTGTGTGAATGACTATTTGCGGCAACGACGAGATATTCATCGATTGACGATATGGTTATCGTTGAGAAATTACCTTGAGAAAAAAAAAATTGAGAAGGAGAGAGGGAGAGAAGGGCTACTACGATCTTTGTTTTTCTCGATTATCCGAGTAGTATAAAAGCTGATGTCTTTTCTATGTATAAACGCTTTCTTTCAAAGTTTAATATTCTAACATCTCGTTTAGTGTTATATCTATTCTCTAAACTATGGTTGCCATCGATCGCCTTGGACATGTCTATCCATCAGTTCAACTTCAAGATATGTTGACGCTTGCACAAAAGCCAGGACCATTAGTAACACCAGTAGGATATGGTGGTGTATCAGTAAATCATTCCGTAGCTAGCGTATTGAATGGAAGTGAAACAGACAGTATTTCACCGGCACAATTTGGTCTTCCTAACAATCCATCATTACAATTTTCAACACCAGGTGGTGGTTTTGTTGAAGTTTTTGGTCCATTAAATACACCTGGTAATAATAAATTTTTTCATGATCCAAATCCAGTTGTTATTCGAAAGAAATCAAAACCCGTTACATACGTACAACGAATTAATTTAGCTTATTATCAACCACCTGCTCCACCACCACCAGGTCCAGTTATTATTAAGGAGGTATGTATATGAATTCATTCTTTCTTTTTTTGCTTACATACACATACGAATTTTGTCATGTTCGTTATAGGTACGTCCACCACAAGCACCAGCTCCACCTCCACTTTTTGTTCGAATTCGACCACCACCACCACCTGAACAAGCACCACTAGTCATTCGTGAAGCACCACCACCACCTCCAAGACCAATTCCAGTAAATATATTTCTTTATATTAATCAATATTAAATCTAATTTATATTTTGTAGGCAACACATTTGACAAAAGTATTACCTGCAATGCCTGTTCCACCACCACGTGTTCATATACGTAATGCTCCCGATCGTTTAACAGTTGAAAGAACCTTAAGTAATTTGGGTCTTTCATCAAGATTATATTAAGACAAAATTACACAAAAAAAAACATAGACTATTTTTTTCTATATTCATATGTGTGTGATGAGTATAGATAATTTATTTTTACGTATATAACAATTTTTTTTAATGGTGGCTTTAGCGAGTATGCGATCAATCTATTTAGTTGTTCATTTAATCATGTTCTTGTCTTTTTTTTTCCTTCTTCCTGTGCATGAAATATGTATTTTGCGTAATCATTCGAATTTTATTATTTTATTCTGTATCGATTTCTCGTATATTCGATATGACAATGTGGAATCTTCAACAGTATTTCTGGTCATGAATGGTATTGTTGAAACGATCGAATAATTTTCGATAAAATACGAACGATTAATACGCAATGTACATTTCGAATATTTAATGTTCGAAACAACAACAACAACAACAAAAAAAAAGAAATCAGTAAACATATTATAAAGAAAGCATAGTTTTAAAATTAAAAAATAAAATAAATGCCATGTTTTTTTTTTTCAAATCATTATTATTTTCAATATTGAACTTTTATCTTATTCAAAATCATATATATATTTTTGTACGATAATACGTATTGGTAATGATGGAGTTTGATAACTAGAAGAAAAGATATAAACATCATTAAAGTTAATCATGCGATACTTATTTATAATGAGCTATTATTACATAATAGAACACGCAAAACGATGGTTAAAAAAAAGGGGGTAAGACATTATAGCTGAAGTTTTCTATGTACACTTTATTTGATTTGACAGCGAATGCATGACATTAATATATAACGAAGTTTTGATGAAAACTAAGACGAATATCATTGATAGGAGGTTAGCTATGAAGGATATCTAGGTAATAAAATGAAAAGAAATTCAACCAAGTTGAAAGAAAATGAAATCAAGACAAAGAATGATCAAAACATAATAATAATAATATGTACTATTTGATTTTTGGTAAGGTTTAAAAGAAAGACAATTCGTTTCAAAGTGTAATCAAAGTCATTAGATTCAACTGAATTCAAGAATAATATAGTGTATGTGAATATTCTGTTTTCTATTGATGATAATCTTCGATAGTCTTGCGAGGTTCTGAAGCCATTGTAATATGCAATAATAAAATATGTATAGTATTATTCATCTCTGAAGACTTCTTTCTCGCTTCTGAAAACAAAAAATGAACAGATCTTTATAACTAGATCTTGATAAGAGATAGTCAAAATCTTTTACCTAATATCTTGTCCACTAATATTTGATATAGATAATTATATTGTGTCGATGAATAATCAAGATTTTGAGACAATATCCTTATATATTTACTCTTGAATTCAGTATACAAAAATATTTATCTGAAAGTCTATTAAAAGTTAAATTTTCATTTAAAAAAATGTCAAAATAGCAATACAACGATTACTAAAAGAACTTGTCGAATTCATCAGAATAATCTTTATAAATTCAGAAACAATATATATATTTACATAAATCACTTGAAATCAAATAAAAATTATGATTCAAAGATTCATACTATTTATTATCCGTATCTGACGTCATTTGCAAGTGGATGAAAAGAGTGCAATTACTATTATTAGTTGTATTGAATTAGTTGGATTTTTGTATTACTTTGTCCGGAAAGTTCGTGCAATTCGTATACTATGAAACCTTAGAATACCAAATGCTGCATTTAATCAATGTAATGATCTTCGTTAACAGCTACACGTAGCTCGTTGGCAACATGGGATCGCTAGTGAAGATCATTACACATTGAATAAATGCAGTACTTATTAACCTAAGATTTTATAGTATATGACTTATACAGACTTTTCGGACAAGGTAATATTATCCATATTGTATTCTTTTTTTTATTTTGATTTATATTTAATAGCATGATATGGTATTTGTATTATTGAATTGATAATTGTTAATCATGCATATGGAATATCTTCGGAAGATGTTAAATATTTTTTTGTGTTTTTGTATGATATCTAAATAATAAAAGTATAAAGAACAATTTGTTATTAATATTATCAGAAAAAAATGAGTATATATTGCAACAATCTTAAAGTTTTATCTCTCCTTCGTATAATTCATTCCTAGCCTACTACATAATGAAGAAAGATATTTACCATAGTAGTTTCGTTGAAATATGAAGTTTTTATTGATAAGCAATGAATAGTATTAGTTTTCATATTTTTCAAATTAAATAGCATGTGAGGTTGTACTCCTCATTTACTTCATGTTTTACAATCATAGTGCGTAATACTGTTAAGGTGTGAAACGTTGAATATAGAAAAAGATTGGTATCTTTAGCTATATTCAGCACGTAAATAATAATTAGATATAGGCTAATATTTGATTAACCTTTAATAATGATTCTTTTGATTGAAAAAATTCTTGTTGAACAATTAATTGAAACTTTCCAAATAATTTTTGCTTTGACTATTACTAATAATGTTTTGTGCTATCTGTAGTTGAAAATTTGACGTTAAAATTTGTTTCTATAGGAAAAAAGTAAAGAATAGTTGTTGAAAAAAATTTTCTATTTGTCTCAAAATGAAATTTACTCGATCGATTGGATGTTAACTCGATAACGCTGATACTGTCGAATTTGAGCTTTAGCAACTCAGAAACAGCAGTGATGAGACCAATGAATACATTCTAAAAAAAAAGTATTTATTAGTTTCAATATGACTTTTGAAGACTGTGATGACTAAATTTAATTAGCGTTTTATTTAAATTTTATCAAAGTACCGAAGAGAAAAAAAAAAGAATCTTAAACTAATGTTGTTATTCAGTTGTCTGAAAATTATCAAGATCATAGTTATTTTTCGTCATATATCGATAATTTAGGCTAAATTAAGAATGTAAAAAATGATAATAGGTTATTTTGAGAGTATGAAATAGTTCTAGACTTTAAAATATATTAATGCCAAGGATCATTTACTAGTAATTCAATGCACCGTGCTAAACATGTGGATGTTTTCAGTTCTCTAAAAACCTTTGAAGATGAGAAAAAGTAAAGATTAAAACAGAGAATTCGAATATCGATCATACTTTCCTTCGAAGAGTTTTTCGAATGTAAAGTCTTTTTGTGAAAGTATTTTTCGAAAGTCTCAAAAAAGTCAGGAATTGATATAGGTTTCTTATTATACTTTTTGAGATTCACAAATTTAGAAAATTCTTTCAGGAATACTTCTGAAAGTGAAATAGTTCTCTGGATATCTCTCCAGATACTAAATCAATTTTTTAAGTAATATCAATTTGTGAAAATATTAATCAGCTTTTCAACAATATTATAAGAGTATTCGGTAATACTTTTAGAATGTCTAAATCAGTATTCTCCAAAAACCTATTAGTTATCGGGTTTTTGAAAACTAAGAAAATAATTTTGAAAATGTTTGTTGACATTGGAAACATTTTTTGAGAGATTTTCGAACGCATTTGGATTTTTTATGAAATAGATGTTTTCTAGAGTGTATGCTAAAGAGTTTCGTAAAAGGTGAATTATTTTAATTATACATGTTTCTACTTAAGCTCTATGAACTTTATAAATCCCAATATTCAAGAAAATCTAGACATTTTTTTAAGTATTTCGATTTTCAAATGACTTAATACATTCAATTATTCTCTTTTCAGAATTGTAGTACCTATACACAATAGCTAACAGTCTCATCAAATTATATAAAAATAAAGTCCAGTACATTCTATTTTCAAATATATCTAGCAATTGTGTAAAATAATTAATCGTAGTACTTACCGTTTTCCGTGACGATGGTTACAACTATCCGTATTTCGTCGTAATTCTGGTTATTGTAATAGAGCACCGTCTACGACGCTGTATTCATTTCATATGCAGTTGTATGTATGCAGTATTTTCATTAAACATGATTGTAAAATATCGACTTTATTTATGGTAAAATAAGAGACTTTAACGGGCTGTATACATTTCGTATAATTTGATCATGATGAATCAAAATTGTATTTTTTCTTTGTTACATCATAAATTTTTTCTAGGTTTGACATGTATTTTTCTGAGTACAGCAATTTTTGCACCTAAAACTTTACAATTAACACTTGATTCTTAAAAAATAGAGATATATTTAAATGAATGTTCAAATATATTAGAAATACAGACGAGATTTTCCAAGTGTTTGTGTCCTAATTTCAGCGGACGATATTTGAAGAAAATTAACGAGCCCTCTAAAAAAAACATTTCTTTTTATTTTTTTTTTGCTGAACTAATACATTGAATAATGCTCTTTAATATGGTACCTAAGCAACAGCTCGATTTTGCTTCCTTCGTAGAATTACAGCCGTTTTATTCGTACGAACACACGTTAAAACGTTTTTCTAGTGGAAATTCAAAGGACTAGAGCAACGCAAAAATATAAAAAGAAATTATTGTTTGGGAACTTACTATTTTTTTGTAAATTTCGTTCGCTAAAACTTTGCACACCAAATACTTGAAGAAACTTTGTTTTTCCATAGGCGTACGTTCTCCAATGCCTTCCTTCGAATGGTGAAAACCACAGGTTTCGAGCTGTTTTTGTTAAAAAGTTATCAAAATTTTGCTCGTTGGCCTTTTTTTCTAAAATTCCGATAATAGTTGATTTTAAGTGATTTTTTGGTGAGTTAAAACGATTTACGGTGATTTAATTGTGATTTTCAGCTGATTGAAATTAGTTGTTTCCCATTGACAATAATACTTGAATCTATCTGTTGAATATAACAACTAATTTTGTCCAAATAATAAA